ACCTTCCGAACGAGTATATCCACCTGTGACAGAGAGTCTAGATTCTGCCAGTGGTAGGAGAGAAGTCACGAAAAGAGGTCAGATGAACAGAGGAGAGTGCACCGTTGCGCTGGACTAGTGTCGTCATGAAGTCATTATTCACAATAATGAGCACTGTAGACATTCGGGAATTGGCGAGTCGGATAGATATGGCTGGAGTTATCCGAGAGGACAAGCGCTGGGACGCCCAGCAGAGACCAAATGTGACGTCGAAGGCGAGAGGAAGGGTGGTCATTGGATGGGTCGGACGTACAACGGCAGGTGAATGTCAAGTGGCGTTGGCGTTCACCTACTTCTTGTGTCTTCTGTTGGTGGTGGTTTTATGTTCTCGTGAGGTGTATAGATGAGCCTTGAAGCGGATTGAGATTGGGTGGACTTCAAAATTCGACCGATTGTTTGTCAATGCTTCGGACATTCAGGCTAGTTTCCTTCATTAGTTCTTCGAAGGCTGGGTCTAGGGTGTGCTTGTATTCAGATAGGCAAGGGGATAAGCGCGGATTATCGGGAGAGCAACCGAAGGAAGAACAAGCTAGGTATGTTACCTGGGTGTTTTCTGATTTTGGGAAGGAGCATTCGGGGACGGTACGGTCGCTTTAGTTTCTCGAGCGATACGGCGGTCGGGTGGTTCCTTTTTCGAAAGCTTCATGATCAAGTCCTTTCGAGGTCAAAGCAAGCAGAATGTTTGATATATTGATGGTTAGAACCCGCCTCTTCGTTGTAACAATGCTCGGCTGAGCGCGTAATTATCAAGAGTGATTTCGAGGCAGCAGGCGACGGGTGATTGGGAATATTCATGGTTGAGAAAATCAGAAAGGGGTCGAGGAAGGAAGGGCAGTGGTTGAGTGACCGGTGAGAAAATACTGGGGACAATGAAGAAAAGAAGACTTGGAGTCGGAGTTGGGTCTACGAGGAGATAGACTCTTTTCAGGTGGATAACACTTCAGATGGTTGCTTACCATTACTAGTCCTTACTCCGACCATTGCATTGATTGCGCCCCTATCCACGTAGGAATGTTGCATACCTTGGGTATGGTGAAGCCTGAAAGGAGGTGAGCAAGAAAAAAAAGAAGCACTGAAGATTTTGTTGAATGAGGAGGTTTCTGAAAACACGTTGCAGTTGAAGAGACTGAGATCGACGAAAGAGGTTGTGGATTGGTTACAATCAGTTTTGATTGGCGAGCGCTTCGCGTGTGCGACGTGCTTGTGGATGCCAGGTCGGCGTCATACTCTCAGCGTTGGGAGGGTGCGAAGTGGAGGAGGGTGGAGAGCGTGTTTATCGTATTGCCTGCGAGTGATAGACAAGCGAAGATCCGTCTGTTGCGCGCGATCGAGTCCGTTGACTAGGTTGGGGAAACTGGAACCCAGTGGATGTCAATTCAGTTTTTTGGAGTCGAATGCGTAATGGTTGTAATAGAAGGTGAGGAACTTGGAACTTGCGGTTTCATTCGTAGTTTTATGGGCGCTATGATTTCATTGAGGTGTAATGGCGACACCAGTTGTGTAATCCAAGTACCTTTTTGGAGGTGTCTATCAGAAGATGGAGGGAACTGGAGGAGTTCCTGGACACGTCTGAGAGGTGGTACCGATGATTTAGGCATTCAGAAGCCTCCATTAACTTCGTTTTCGAGCTTGAGGAGATCGAACTTCGAGGGTTAGTCTCAGAAGTCCGGTGTTCTTCTTCACAAGTTCATTAGGCCACGTCGGTCAGGTTTCTTAATTAGTCAAGTGCCTTGGTTGGATCTCGAGTGTGCAGGTAATTAGTGGAGAGAGAGAGAGGTCGGTGGAGTGTAATTTAGGTGAATGGTGCTTGCCTAACACGTCTAGAGTACTTCGCTCTGCAACGTCACAGACATGGATTCCGGTCTTCGCGTTCGCTTGGGCGCTGGTTTGAGTTCGATGTACGAAGCGAAGCGAATTCAGTTTGTCGAGAACAAGAGGAGATGTCAACACAATCAAGGGTGGCGCCTACAGGTTACCATTAGAGGCAAGTAGGCGGCCCCTGGAAGTGATGCAGAACCCGTTAGCGCGCAAAACTGACCTGAAGCGGTCGGCTATCTGGTAATCGTTGTTGGCGCTTATGGGACGATCTGGGAGGAGGCATGATCCTTGCTTGTTCTGTGGTAAGAGGGCCTCAGGGTCGGCGGCGAACTTGGGTCGTGTAATAAGCGAGAATGCTGTTCAATCCATGTTTGCAGTCGGTGATATTTGAAATATCCTGTTTGAGGTTAGTGGAATTAGCTGGAGGACCTGCTTTGAGGCTTGGAGAAGGGGCTCAGGAACTGATTGAGCACCGGTAATTTTACGATGTAGGTTGCGATGGCAAAGAGCGGGATTCCAGTTGGAAGAACTAGGATGAAAACGGTCAAACTGTATTGCACCAACGATTAGGGTCGATTTGAGTCTTCGGGCCCCATTGCAACCCTGCTCACGCGACACGCCGCAGCAAAGCGCACACGACCACGCTCTTTTGGAAAGGCGGGATGTCGGTTGACAGAGTCAATTGACTGCGGGACGACGACACGTCGATGGGCGCTTATTTATGTAACGCCCCCGGTCCGAAGGTCTTCAACTGCACGATTTTGATCATCTGGTGGGTGGGCTGTTTGTCTGGTGTGATGCCTCAAGGCATCACGAAATAGCATCACGAAATAGAGTCGACGACATTGAGCACGAAGCTTGGTTTAGTATGTCACTTTGTTGAATCACGAGAACCGGGAGAGAAGAGAGGAACCGGGAGGGGGACGTGATTATCGATTGGGTGTAACTGATTATCGCAGGAGAAGGTTCTACGTAGACGTAGACCGTTTACCCGCTGCACGCGATTGGAAGGATGATAAGTAACACACTGTATGGGATCGAGGTTGGTAAAGTGGCCGGTAGGAAGTGGAAGGAGGAGGGTTAGACTTTTGGTAGGCTTCATTCAGGCTTTTTCCGATGGAACGATTGGGTACTTTGGGCGTGCTTACGGTATTAGTCCATGGATTGTTTGAGTAAAGCTCTGGTTGCACGCTGCTGGAGTGAAGGACGTGCGGTACCGGTGAGCGAGACACGATGCATTATCCCAATTTATGTTTCTTGAGCAATAGAGGGAGCCTCATGTTTTTTTTTTATTGGTTTGGAATGGGATGACGAGGATTGGAGACCAAGGAGCACGCAAGTGAGAGACACGCAGGCAACCAAACGCGGATGGGGTTAATTAGCTGGAGATGAGAAAAAGGCGATTGCAGCGGGCGTGGTTCGTCACGGCCACGTGAGCGCTTGCGTCAGCAAACCCATTAAGCGCGCTGGTCCGAGGTGTCCATTGGGATCATGATGCTGGTGCTGGCTTGGGACGTGAGAGGAAGCTTCTGCTGTGTGTCTGCGAGTGCCAGCGTGAATGAACATGAAGTGAATTAGAGGTGATGTTTGTACATCATAAGGATGGATTTGGGATTGGGATTTCCAGGAGTCTACAAGGGGGGCTTGGAGGTGTATTCAGGTGGTGGGGAATGCAGGTGGTTCCATTCGCTGGACTGTCGGGCCGAGCGAGAGGAATTAGAATAGCGGCACGCGGGAGCAAAGAAAAAGTAAGTGAACATGGAATCACAAGTTGGGCAACATGTGGGACTATGGAATGGTATGGCCGGGATAGCGCGCGGACAGGCCGGGTGTGGTGATGGCTGAGAGAGGGGCCGAAGCAGCGCCGCGCCGAAAAATTGTGAGAAAAAGTGATTTTTTGTAGGGAGGGTCATGCGCATGGGATTTGCCGGGCAATTCTTCCGAGATCTGTGTTTTCCCAAGTTGGACGATCGAGATCTTGCTCCATTGGGCGTCTCGTCCGTGTATAAACCATAAACACTCTCTCCTCCAATGGCCTCTCCGTCGTCCCCTCACAACCCTTCAACAAATAATGTCCGCCCTCACAGCCGCACTCGCTGCCTTTGCCGCCACCGTCAACGACCACCGCGACGACGACAACTCCCTCTCCGTCGCTGGCCCTTCCACCGCCCGCCCACTCATCACCCCAGTCGAGTCTGATCCGCCATGCTCAGCATCACCCACCTCGCCCCCTTCGCTCACACATAGCGGCGTCTCCTCTTCTTCCTCAAGTCTTTACGACGTCCCCGCAATCTCGGCCCAGTTGGCTGGAGAGAGGCCCAATGAGCACCTGGCAGTGTTGTTGCCCAAGGCAATGTGGAAGGTGAGCTCTCCGTTGGCCAGCGCGCGATCAGGCGCTAATGATCATCCTTCCCCAGCCGGACAACTTGGCAAGCGTCTGCGACAATCTTTATTGCCGCGTCAGCTTTGGTCTCTTTGAACGTAGACATGTACGTCTTGTGGCATTTTCTTTCTGTCACCACCGCGTCTGACACCGTTGCAGCACTGTCGCAAGTGCGGTGGCGTATTTTGTGCAGCCTGCACGTCTCGCAACACTCCCCTGCTTGACACCTCAAACCTCGAATTCACGCATCCCCCACGAAATATTCCTATCACCGCTTTCGACTCTCCAACCTCTCCTGTTCTCAATTCACGAGTTTGTGACGACTGCTATGACCAGATTCATGGTCTCCGAACCACTCCCCATACTCCCTCAAGACCTCATATGAAACGTGCCCTTTCTCATCCTATCTCCATGCTCAAGATGCCTCTCACCGCTCTCCGCACTGGAAGCGAGTCTTCTCTTTCCAGCAGAGCATCTTCTCCTGTCCACCTCGATGCCCCTTCACGAACACCAAGATCTCTCCGCAACTCTCCCAGTATCTCTTCTCTTAATTCTTCCTCCTCCAGTGCCTCCTCCCAACAACGCACGGGCATCCTCCGCACTGGTCACCTCCCTCTCCCTGCTGACCTCGAACGGTCCTATGGCGAACTCGACGCCTATCCTCTCAAACGCTCCAGCGTGCTCTGCAAGGCTACCGGCGGTGGACGTTGGGAACCCAAGCAGAGCCCTGTTCTCGACGGGTACCGCCCGCCAGTCCCTGGTGCCAAGGCACCATACGAGATCGAGATGGAACGTGAGGAGCAGGAGGAGCGCAGACGGCGGGAGAACCCCATCGTCACTGACGGTGAATTCCGCTACCGCTTCATCCGCCGGCATCCCTCTATGACACCTACGCCGACACCTGAGTGCTCCAACCCATTCTCGCTCTCGACATTCTAATCCACGACAGTCCCCAAAAGTACTCATGCCTCGTACCGCCTTATACCACCTGCGAAACGACCCCTAC